TTAAATAATTCATTTTACAACAAGATTGTTACAAATTATTACAATAACAAATGCAATAATGCTTTGAAATGTCTGTCTTAGATACTGAGCCTCTGTGTTCAGAATAGCAATCATGGTCAGCTTAGAAAGTGGATCATACAGCAATCCTGGCAAACAGCACTACAGGCAATTACTTACCTTTAAGTCCAGGTCAATGAATGGTTGGAATACTGCTGGCAAGCTACTTAAGGAGTAGTCTACTTCAGCCAAATCATCAATTGGCATTACAACTGTAAGGGTGGTAGATAAGGCAAGATGCAGAATATTACAAAAAACACAGAAAGAGTTTTATGTATACTTAAAACTAAGTCAGTTTCTGAAGGAGAATGACACCCCATTGCTCCAGAGAGTAGGAAAAACATAACCAGGGACTTCCTAACATGCATTGTGAACTAAGGCTTGATGTTTCTACTGGAACCTTCTGTAAAGCACTAGCTTTAGTTTGTCTATTGTTTTCTCACTGTGAAAAAGTTTGTTCTAACAAAAAAGAGGAAATGGCCATCAGTGATTCAGGGCATGAGGAGGCGTTTGGATTTCTTGTCAAGCAGTTCTAAGAGCATCCAGAGTGTCTCCAACTTGCAATACTTTCCCAGAAAGCAGGGTGCCTGATCTGCTTAGGTACTTTGTTTTGCACATGGTATCTGATCAACACTTCTGGTGTCTTAAAAGCCTGCAAATCTAATCCAGAATAGTTCAAGTGAGAAGCTTTTTTGCCAAGAAGAATTTCCTTTTGCCTTTGGCAAGTCTGATATACAGGCAAGTAAAACTTAAATTTTCAGGCAGGCTAGGAGAGCAGGCTTCAGCTTTTAAATTGCTGTGTGTGTAGGAGGACTTGGAGCATGGGAGGGAAGGGAAAATTGCTGTAGTGTCAGTACACTGTGGCCTCTAAGTTGCATTTCTAACAACAGAAGTGCACACTGCTGCATTTGCAAGTCGAGAATCGCTACCAAGTCCTTGGCTCTTACAAATATACATTTCTTGCCCAGGTAGCCCTGCTTACTGTTTCTGTAAGCAAGGGAGCAGACAGAGCAGAGGGGCTGATATCACTTCTGGATGCATTGCTGACCAGTGGCTGTTAAGGAAGCTGCAGAATTTCACTGATCAGCAGAGAAGAAGCAGAAGGAAGAGGTATCACTACTGACTCACCATTCAGCGATTGGAGGTCTTCATCTATCAAATGGATCCCAGCTCTGATATTGGGACATGACTGTAATAAAAGCACACTCAAGCTATGGCCTGATTAGCATGGACATGTAAGCACCTCTTACCTGTGTGCTAGTAGATCTTTCTGCTACATGACACGCATTGCAACATTTGTTTATCAAAACACCTAATCTGGCTTTTCTTCAGCTAACTGGATCCCCAAGGTTTCTGCTTGGTGCAATGTAAGCATATCCTATGTCAGAGCTGCAAAGAAGAGGGAAGTTGCCAGAAACAGCCTGGTGGGGGTGACAAAACTACAGCCTTTAATAGCACAAGGAGACAGATCTCACATTGGTCTCACAGGAGACATCTCAGAATCATGGACTCACTTAGGTTGGAAAAGACCCTTAATATCATCGAGTCCAACCGTAAATCTCTGTCCTGGGACAGAATCACAGCCATCTCAAGCTCTGTCTCCTCTCAGTGGCCCTAGTCAGGTTCTCATCAGGACTGCTCACTTCTTTAATACAATGAAGTTTAAATATGTCATACTATCAGTTGATGTACTATAATTTCTCTATGCATAACCCAGTATATGTTTTGTCTGCCAAGTACAAAAATTGCCCATGTTCCATGATGCCTGTAGGTACACAGGCAGAGACTTATTCTGCATTGGAATGGGAAAATAACTACATTTTCTGACCCTACTGCTGCCCTGGTTGAACTAGCTGTGGACTAGTCAGTATCTTGGCCATGAACTTTATCTGGAAGCATTTCCAGCTGGCAAAATGTTGCCTGTGCTGATCAGACCTGAATAGGTCTATTACAGGATTATTTTTCTAGCTCCACTTTATGAAGTTCACTTGTGAATGTCACACTCCTTACACCCCTCCCCTACACAATGTGAAAGGCTTACATTAGTGACCAAGCTCCTGTGAATAGGTTTCTTCAGATACTTGATAAAGAAGTTATGCAGGAAGCTAGAGGGAAGGAAGAAAGCAATTCATGTGTCAAGTACCATGGTCATTAACAGGAGATCAGCTGTCTCTGTAGAACACTAATTTAATGTCCTCTGAGTGTGATATTCTAGTACACAAGAGAGCTTTCTGAAATGTAAAAACTATAAGAGAGCCACTATTTAAAAGGAGATAACTTCAGCATCTCAGGAATTAGCCAGGGTTAATTCATCTATATGAAAAAGCAATTCTTCATAGTACCACCGTCATATATGTACAAACACAGAACAAATAAGTAGTGTCTGCACTAGGAACTGATACAATTAAAACCAACCAAACAAAACAAATCCAGGTGACAAAAGTGGTATTCAGACAGTGAGAGAAGTACAAGGAAACAATGAAATATTGTTGCATGTATCCAGAGGCTTAACAGACAGCAGTCTGGTTCTGTTCAATTTTGATAGCACTGTGACTGGGGGAGTGAAACACAGTACAAGCATGTAACTTCTACTTAAAGCTGAAGATTAGAGCAGAAGTTTGAAAGAAGTGGGTGCTGAAGAAGCACAAGGGATTATTTGATTCTGTCTTTATCTTCTGTAGTGCGCAAATACAAGGATAAATATCAATGTTGGCCATTTTAACACTGTATCAGGTCCCCAGTTCTCACCTGTGGTGTCTATAGATACCTAAAAGCAATTCTGGGTGCCCTGTTTCATGAAGTTGTCTCTATGCTATTCACTGACACTTATTTTCTCCCAGAGTTTATACAGATCTCTTCCACTTACCCGCTTTTTCCATTCAGCTTGATATCTATGTCACCAGAAGTTGTCCGGCAGCTGGTAAGGGATATTGATGTAGGACTTGTATTATCCCGAGGAGTTGAAAAGATTGCAGTGACAAACACGTTTGAAATGTGCACTGTGCTTCTTCCACTATCTTTGCTGCATAAAGTAAAAATAAATAAAATACTGAAAAAAACCCCACCTCTTCATTATGGACTTGCCTGGCAGTCTGGACCAGTGGCTGTTCATGGTCACTGCCATTAACTTGCTCTGCTTTGCCTGCCTTGGGCACTTGCCAGTGAGGGCACTGTCCCTCCTACTGTGCCATCACCCTCAGCACCCGGGTCCCCTCCCCTTTAAAGCAGCCAACCCTACTGTCCCTGTGAGCAGAAGTGCATATCAGTTCTGTAATTCACTCAGTTTAGCAATATAGGTAATGTGAGTTGTGGAGAAGGGAAGAGGGATTTATTTCCTCTGAAACAGCATGGGACTGGGAAGGTGTGGACATGGCTCTAAGGATATTGCCATTTGCTCATCCATTTTCCATCAGCTTTTGAACTATATATCCTGGAGGCATAACAGAAGGTTTCTAACAGTGTAACTGCACAGGGAGGTTTTATTATACTGGACTGTGACCCACCACACTACAGTTTTTTCTAAATGTGTCATTAGCTGGCAGGCTGGATAATGACAGCGTTCATCCAGAGTAGCAGACCTATATTATTCACAGCAGTGCTTCTCAGCCACAGGCTCTTTATCAGTGCTCGTGACTGAGGGGGCTGTCTCCCACCAGCAGACCTGTTGAGAAGAATCAGTCTGTGCTTCTGGGTTACTGCTGCCAGCTGATAAAGAGTACCTTTGCCGTGAAGAGGTCACAAGAAAAACTAAACTTTGCATTTTTATCTTTATATGAAGGAAAAATCCCAGGACACATTTAGCTGTACGTACAACATCCAGGTCCTTATGTTCCAGTTCATGTCGATGGTTAGAGAAGCATTTCCTATCACCAGTTTTATCCCAGACCCAGGTAGGAGGGAGATGGAAGCACTGGGTAATTCAACAGCAGTGACATGTATTCTAGAGCGTGAGACAGATAAGGAAGAGATAAGAAAAAGAAAAGTTTTTATTTCGTGAGTCAGAATGAACACACAATAAGATTCAAATTTCAGTCAAACATAAATTGCCCCTGGAGAGAATACTTACCCAGAGATGTTGTATTTGACATTACCAAGCCCAAATTTCTCATGGCCAGTCAAATCAGGGAAACGCTCCTTTTCCATATTCTGCTTCAGGATTTCCAGCCCAACCTCCTTGGCTACAGGAAAACAATGATCAGTTCAGTTGCCTTTGATACTGCCTGGGAGTTTATAGTTATGTGTTTCTGGCTCAGGAGATGGGATGGGCACAGAGTCAGGAGGAAGAAGATATCTCATGTGAGACCCAGTAGTGTTATTTCTGATCTCACTCCTAGTCATGGCAGGAGCTGAACTGATTCAATATCTGAAGTCAGATGAACCTCAGTATGATGTCCAATGTCGTTAAGCAGCTTACAGACTCCTAAATTTTCCTTTATAGCCTGTGATCAGGTCATTTCCTCCCACTGCCATCACTGTCCTATGTCTCTCATATCAGGATTCAGTGCAATACCACCAGCAGCTCCTGAAAACATCACACATACCATACTCCAAGCCCTTCTGGGTGATCCTCACTTTGAGTCCAGGGTTGGCATTGAATTGCCCACTGAGCAAACTTAAGAGAAGGAGAGAACAGCAAATCTTCAGCATCTTCCTCATTTTTTACAGGACCTGTTAATAAATATTTATAATGATAGCAAAGTTCATGCTATGTCACTTGGTGGTTGTACTCCCTTCCCCTTCACCCTAGACACCAGCTTTCCCTCTAGAGTGAAGAAAGTGGAAAGCTCAGCAAACATGGAAGAGAGGACCCATTCTGCACAGACTGTTACAAAAATACAGTTCATGGGGTAGAGGAGAAAAGTCAGCCTATTCACTGCCACAGAGACTGGGGAAAGCACTTGGGATACATCCATCCAGACAAACCCTGTCGAAAGCAACGTGACATTGAATTTTTAGGCTGTCATTTCCCCTCCCACCTCTAGCTAGTGAAATAAGTAGCCTATTTTTTCACAAAATATGTAATGCTCTCAGTGCCTCTTGGTGATTCAGCAGACATCACTGCATCTTAGCACTTTGGAAAACCTGATCAGCTCACTTAATTACAGGCACAGATACCCCCACTTTTGGAGCTACTTATTAAGATCTTAGTCACAATTTTGAGAAGTGCCTTATGTTCCCTCCCGATAGTCAACAAAAGAAAATGATTTGGTGCCAGCAGACAATGTTTTCATATTCCCTAGACCACAAGTTAATAAATACGTTAAGTTTTATCCAGAAACTCTCTGTGCAAACTCTGTGGTCCAGATGTTTGGTTTTGCCTATTTGCTGTTTCATTACCAGAAGTAATAATACACCTCAAAACTCTAAAATATTTTCAGTTATGATAACAATTTAAGCAAACTGCAAAATTATAACATTGACTTAAATTTTTATGAGTTCAAGCAACCCCACAGAACACCTTTGCCTTTTAGTATGATAGTATTTCCTTTTTAATTTTAACTGACTTTTATTGAGAGATGAAAGAAACACACTTCATGTGTGGAATCCAAAGGTGAAAGAAACACAGTCCATGTATAGAACAAAAACAAAGTACTGGAAGGAAATGTGTATTTAACATAGGCATAGTTCTCAAATCATAAAATCTCAACATTTAACCAGACTTAGCTACATCTATCTCTGCCCAACAAAGCCCCTCCTCAACAAAGAGTAATCACAACACATTTATTTTCGTACCTCTCCTCTGAAGACTGAAGAGAAGACTCTTACTGTACCAGACCACAGGACTGAGGACAATGCAGGGAGAATCATCTGCCACCACAACCCCGTCTTTTAAAGGAAAGAGTTGAGAGCTTTATGACAGCCAATTGCTACCATCTTCAGCAGTATCACACAGGGAGTGGCCTCTGATAATCACATCCCAAACTATTTTGGGATAGTCCCAGGTTAAATCTATCAAATTTCATTTAGGGATAAGCAGGGGGCAATGTGAACTGTTGGATGGAGGTGCTCAGGCACTGGGGTGCTGAGTTTGGGATGGCATGCTGCCTTTGTGGCAGACTGTTTCGGCACTGGCTTTTCAGATGGACCTGAGAGGAAACCCCAGTAAGAATTCCACTAATTCCAAAGGACAGGCACTCGAATTCCAGTAATTCCAAAGGACAGACACTCATAGCCAGGTCTGTATTTTGAAAGAAATAAATTAATGTGCAATCATTGTGAAGAACAGATGGAAAACAAGGCCCATCTGTCTGAAATTGCTCAGGATACAGAAAACCACAAACCATATAAGATTTGTGTTATAGCATATGTATATACACACAGACACTATAGTGTGTATTTATGGTGCAAATATATAGTATCAAGTCCTTGTAGTCAATATTTTCTATTTCTTGTCCTTACTTATCCAGTTAACTGGTACTTCAGCTAACCAGCACTCCTTGGCTTGTCAAGGAGGTGATTTAATCAATTAGCTTGCATGTACCAAGCAAATTCCCTCTGGCATGGAGCACTTTGCTGGACAATCTGAGTCACTTCATTGTGCAATCCATGAATAGAAAAGGTAGAGGCACCAGTCAGTCAGTCAACAGATACTCACATTTACACAGATTTAACATTCACTGCAGGGAGTCACATGCATAATAATTTCATTATTTATATCTCTGGCAACTGATGATGAATATCATTCACACCATCAGTTACATAAACCTCTATAAGTTCTTTTAGCACAAGTTCTGCAGTTCCTATAAAGCAAGGGAAAGTTCCATCATTTCCATCCACAGATCTCCAAGATGTACAAACAACTGAATTGTCTGAAAACTATGTCAGCTTATCCTCATCATATCCTTCTAACATTCTTCTAATAGAGTACCACCCAGTTTAGATAAGACTTTTAGCAAAAGTTAACAAAAACACACTAAGGCTTCCAGAACAGTTCCATCATTTCTTTCTACAAGTATAGGAATAAAAGGCAACTGTCTACTTACAGGCACATTCAGATAGCACATTCAAATACACTGTAAATAGCTTCTACATCCAAACTTTTCACCCTTCAAGGTGTTACAAAGAGCCTCTAAGAGGAGTGTTTTATTTCAGCTTCCTCTGAATTTTCTTTGATGTGTATGATAAAGGGGATATAGGTTTCAACCCTTTTTACCCAATACACAAGAAACCAAATGAAGTTATCAGTATGGCAATACTACAAACTTGTTGTATATCTCTGCAGAACACTGGTTTTGCATGCTTCCTGCCCCTGCCTCTGGTTCAGTGCTCCAGTGGTCCCTTTTCCCTGCTCCCCAATTCTCCCTTTTCTCCATGCTCTCTATTCTGCAGCAAATTAATGAACATGGATAATTTCCATGGTTCTATCAATCAGGAGACACCACCAGATCAAAAATGGTATAATGACCTGTAGGTAAGTATAGGATGATTCAGGGGGAACTGTTGGTTTATGTGACATCCTCTTTAGTCCTCAGAGAAATTACTACATCACTTTGTGAACAGCCAGAGGACTAGAGCTTAAGAGACAGTGTTGTGCTAAGCCATGACTCTAGCCTGAAAAGGTCCATTGAGCCATGGTACTTGGTCAGTCCTGAAGTGTGTCCCCCTTTGGAAGAGAAATTAGATAGACACCAGAGCTTCAGTTTTCTTTTTCCCCTGTATCTCATGAATTGTCCTCCAAATAGGCAGAACAAATTTCCTGATATCAGTGAAGGACACCAAACTAATTAAAAATCTTCATTTCTTTTGAGTCTACTACAGAATACAATGAATCAGATTCTGTGATTTACTGCTGTTTGGTTTCAGGATGCTTTTTTATATTAAAAAACTGTATCAGCCAGCTAGATAAAGAAACTGATTCAGCTAAAACTATGGAAGCCACATTTCTGTCCCAAGCTGGAACTGAACTTTCTGTGGTGAGACATTTGCAGACTAGTTTTTCTTTTCACACACTTAATATCTCCTGGTTGAGTGTCTCTGATGACACTGACATAAAACAAAATAAAGCTACCATCTCCATTTTATAAATATTAGAAGTATGGAATTATTTGGAGATTGATACCCTCAAAGAGGTACAGCGACTCACAGACAAGGAGCAACTGCTGGATGATATAGAAGCCAAGGACAGCCTTGGCTGCAGTGAGCATGAAACTGTGGATTTTCAGATCCTGAGAGGAGCAGCAAGACAAAGAACAGAATTACAACTATAGACTTCAGATGAGAAGATTACAGGGACCTGCTTGGCAAGATCTGTGGGAAATTGCCCTGGAGAGCAGAGGCCCAGAAGAGCTGGCTAATCTTCAAGGGCAGCCGCCTCAGAGCATAGGAATAGTCCACTACAATGTTCAGACAGTTGAGCAATTGTGGCAGAAAGCCACGATGGATGAACTTGGAGCTCCTGAGTGAGCTCAAACACAAAAAAGGAAGCATACAGAAGATGGAAATCGAAACCAGATACTTGGAAGGAACACAAAGATCTTGTTTGCACATATAGGAATAAAGTCAGGAAAGCCAAAGTGCAACAGGAAAGGTTTCCCTAAGTACATTTATAGCAGAAGAAGATGGGCTTATTGCTCAGTAAGATGGGGGACTAGTGACGAAGGAAAAGGCTGCTTTTACTAGCAAGGCTTGTCCTCTGGACTGCACCAGCAGGTGCAGGTTCTCAAGGAGGCTTGAGAACATGAATTACAAGGAGAGCCTGAGAGATTAGGCCTGTTCAGCTTGGAGAAGAGAGGGCTTGAAAGGTCATTTTGTTGCCTGCAATGTTTTGATCAGAGACTACAGAGAAAATGGAATCAGTCTCATCTTGGAAGTGTATGGTGAAAGTACAAAAGGCCACAGAACAAGCTGGAACATGGGAAATGCTGATTTGATATTAGGAAAAAAAATTATTCTGAAGGGAGTTAAACAGTGGAACAGATTGCCTGGAGAGACTGTGGAATCTCCATCCTTGAAGGCATTCAAGAGTTGACTGGATGCAGTGCTCAATAACCTCATATAATTAGTCCTGTTTTGAGCCAGTGTCTGGACTAGATTATATGATTCTATAACTATATGGCAATTAACTGGATTTTATAAATTTCTTCCCACTCTTGGTATGCAGTTACAAAGGGACAAATTGTGAAATGCTTAAAAGAATAAGATCTCACTCCATACACAAAATTTTGCTAATGCTAATGGAGATAAATTGAATAATGCAAGAACTTGTTCCTAAAATTAACAAAATGTGGTGTCTATAACTCTACTGAAAAGAACCAGTTGCTGCTTCAGATCAGGCTGCAACAAGTTTTCCAAAGCATCAATAACAGTTAGCTACATTCACTGTACTAAAAACCAACACATTCACTTTGTGAAAAGTGCTTAAAAAGTTTTACTAAAACACTAAAAATGGTGATGAAAAGCCATGCTTCTAATGTTATAGTATCTACTCCCTACAAGCCAACAGAAGGAAAACTACATTTTTCTCTTATTATTCTTTAGAAGTAAAAAGACATCAGGAGTGGCTGTGGAGGTCCTCATCTTCCCTGTCCACTGGTTGGTAGTGAACATCAGTGGAAATAACCAGATGACCCTGAAGAAAGAAAAACATGTAAAATTACTTGAAATTTCAGACATATATTCAGGGACACTACTCTGGGATTAGATCCCTTGGTAAATCCCTCAGCAGGGCAGGAGACAAGAGTGGCTTTGTGCCTCCCGAACTTTAGTTAACTTTAGGGTAGGAATGGGCTTTGATGTAGGTTAACACTCCAGAAGGGTGAGTAACACCAGAGACACTCAGGTTGCCTATGAGCCTTCCTAGAGAAAGGTCAGAGGAGCAAGGACTCACACACTCAATGCTCCTAAGGGGATAGCAGCACTGTCCTTGTCATGTCCCCATGCTGGCACACCCCAAAGGGCTAGTGGACCCTTTGCAATCTATAACTGCTGGGGTGGGGGGGCTCATTTTGGATCCAGAGTTTGTGTGTTATATCTAATGCATGGTGAAAGCTTTACTAATAACAACATTTAGATTTACCCAACACAGGAAAACACACAAATATGCAGGCCTGAAACAGAAGCAATATTCTATAAAAGAAATTTGGCTTCTCACCTGATTCATTTTTATTGCAGGTCCAGTCAGGCTAGTGTGGGCCAAGTTAAGAAGAGGAAATCCTTTTCCTAGTTTATCTTTGGAAAGGACAAATATAAATACATTTGAATGTAATAACAAAATGCACTTCAGAAGCATCTTTCTCAAGGAACTCAAAGTGTTAGCAATTTCCCTTCAATTAGCCATCCTTGATCCTCTCAAGGGAGCAAAAAACCCTGTGAAAAAGTTGCATCTAAACCTCTTACAATCTCTCATCTCTCTGACACTGCCTTTGTTCTTCTCCAGATATCTGCCCCTCAAGATCTGGTTTCTGCTATTTCCCACTCTGTGTTACTCTCCATCTTCCTTTCAATTTCTTCTCTACTTGATCCTCTCATCCTTTTGGCTCCTCTTATTTTCATCTATCCCTACTTTCCTGGATCAAGCCTCAGGTCTATTCCTATTTGCTTTTCCAAACATCTAACATGCATCCTGCCCTTTCATTCTCTTTTCTTTCTCCTCATTGGTAGCTCACTTTTTTTTGTCAGCAGTCTCCTCAGCTCTGTTCATGTGAGAGGCACCTTCTGTACTCTTCCACCTGCTTCTTTCTACCATCATCCCTTTCTTCATCATCCCTCATTACCTGTATCCTACTGAACTGATTTCTACTCTGTCTGGCCCATGGCAGCAGGTGAAGCACAAAGGCAGAGAGGTGATAAAGTAAGAGATGTTAACCCAAAGCCCAAAGGTGCAAATGTGCTTCTGCACTTTCTCAGTTTGGGCCATTCTCTGCTCATGGCTTGACTCTGTCAGGATGAGACTCAAACATGTCTCAGCTCTGCTGCCACACTGCATTCAGTGAAAATGAAACCCAAGCCCAGTGTTTGAAAGGGAGCCAAGACTTGCTCTGTCCCAGCCCCTGATCTACATAGCTGAATGACCAGGATCAAAGTCCAGCACAGAGTAAACCTGTCCTGGTGTCACCAAATGAAAAGAAAACCTCACACAACAGAGTCTTTAAGGCTGGGCACTCCCTTTTATGGTTTCAGTCTTGCTTTCCCCCCAGCTGTGCTCAGAACTGGCCACAATCCTTACCATTGATTACTGGGATTACTACTCTCCGTAAAGCATACGACAGAAAATTCTCCACCACTGACTTCTGCTGTATGGGGAAAAGCACATTTGGTGATTATTGCCTGATGCCTATGGGTTTGCAGCTTCACAAGGAAGATGAGTGTTAGAACTGAAGTGACACGCAAAAAGATCAGAACAGAGCTTGGCAGAGAAAATCTCAGGCAAAAAAAAGATATATTTTGGTTTAAGTTGCAAAGAGGTGTCCATTTTCTCACAATGAGTTAAATTGAAGGTGGGGTTTTTTTTCTGTATGTTAAATACCTGGATTGAACCTTAACTTTAGGAATTAAATATGTTCAACCTCATTTCAGCTGGCAGACTCAGTTGTCATATGTGAACTGTTCTCTGGGTGGCAAGAACTGCCCTGTCCTGAAGCTCTGTCTTACCACCACTGTGGTATCACCACTGTGATTAGTCTCTTCCTCCCTTCACTTAAAGGTACTGGTTGGGCTGAGCTGCTGCAGAGTCTCTCTGATCATTTCTCAGTCTACAGTGAAGGATCCAAGTAGTGGTATCATGTTTCTTTTATTCTCTCTCTCTTTTTTTATCCTGTTTTTTTGTTATTTGGTTGAAGTAATTTAAGATAATTTACGATATGGAGCTTAAGCCTGACTTTGTATTCACTTCAACTGCTACACATACTCAGTCCAGCTGTGACTTGTGCCTGAACCCAGGCAGACTCCATAACAATTTGAGCCTCTGATGAAAAAAACAAAACAACACAATACTCTAAGAGGTACTTCCTCTTACTAGAAAGAAAAAGAAAAGCATAGCATATACTATTTCAAAGCAGAAAGAGCAGTTGCAGATGATGTCCCAAAGACAGACCAATAATTGTTCAGCAGCAAGTTCAGAACTATTTCTTTTATCTCTGAAGGGGTCAGCTACTTATTCCAGGCACTGAAACCATCAGCTTACCTCAGGGAAGCCAAGATTGGAGTGCAGTAGGGAGAACTGGAACCTGAAGAGAAGTAGTAAAAGAAGAGAATTCACTATAAAAGATGAAGGTACAACTTATGCACACCACTTGAAGATTCGTTTGTGGAAATTCATACTGATTTCACGCTGATTCACACATTTAACTTTGCCAAAGACTTTAATTCCCAACAGCTTTTAACTAAAACTGGCACAACTACAAATGAGTTATAGAATCACTGGGTTCTTTCTGGTACTAATCTCCTCCTACAGTCATGTGTAGTTCTGGGCTGTAACTGTAAGACTTGGGAAATCAATTTTTCCTGGAATTGCTATTTCTCCAATGGCTGAACTACACATTCCTCAAATATGCATTGTGATTTGAATTAACTCATAGGCTTCCCTAACTTTTTCCACTGATGCCTGTAATGCATCCTCAGATCATTGTAAACATAATCCCAGAGAAAAAACAAAATTTTGAAGAACAGAAGAACACATTCTTGTGTCAAAAGCTCTAAGTGAGTGGCACCATTACTACTTAAACTTGCAATGACAGGCTCTGATCATTTTAAATCCTTTTCCCATTAAAAAGGTCCAGTGACAAAACACTAAGAAAAGGCTGCTTATATTTTTCTTTAATAAAATTGTAATAGATTAAAAAATATCATATATTCTGGAATTCTAGCCCAACTTGGAGTACAGAGCTAACAAAAAGAAGCACTGATGTGGGCTACCTGTCTGAAAGTCTGCGCTTCTATCCACCTGGTGCATTTATGGAGAAAGGGGCTGTAAACCCAGCCCAGCTCAAAGTGCTAATAAAATTTTTCTAAGACAACTGAGAATAACCATAAAGTAAACACAAAACTAGCAAGATCTAAGAAAAATCTAAAAAGCTTTGAGCTTTGATTCAAACTACAGACACCTTTCCAGTCTCATTTGTTTGATGGTCTGCTGCTGGAGTGTGTGCTGTGCAGTCTCACTTTTTTCTTCCCCTCATGTGAAGGCATACAGAGAGCTAGTGACAGTGGTCCTGTGCAGGGTTTGCACTCCAGCAGTTCTGTTTATGATGCTCAGACTTGGCATGGCAGCAACATTTAGTGGGTTTTAAATAAACTACTCCAACACCAGCGCAGACTGAAATAGATGCCTTTAAGATAACCAATAAATTGAATGTTGTCACCTGGAAAGGTATTTAACCTACAGAAAGGGGAAGTATCACAGGAGACATGGTTGTTCCATGGTATTGTTATATTTCATCTGAAAGATTTAAACCAACCAGTTGAAAGTATCTTAAGAGTTCCTGTGAGAAAGAAGATAACTAATTTTCTTTTTGCCATGGTGAAACAACCACTGTCAGGCTGACACAATAAGTTCTGTTGTGTCCTAATGTTGGGATCATTGATGTTGCTTTCTGAATTTTTCTTGGTTACCTCTTCAGAAGTAATGAGATAATCAACTTCTGTTTGGTTATTGTCAAATTGGCTGTGGTACTGGCTGTCTGCAGGGAAAAAAACAAAACAGTCTTGTGTGACTGTATACACAGATAGATACTGTCTTAGATACAGGCACAAATGTAATTCCTTTTTTGATTGGAAACACAATGTCTAAACTTTTTATGTGGTCAATAGCATTTGTGAATTTGCCCATTTCTGCCAGCAACTGAGATTCTGTGAGCAAAATGATAACACTGCTCTGATTGCCTCCTTATCATTAGGATCATTTAAGTCCTTGCATGGCTGACCTAGTTGGTTCACTTGCAACCTCATGAAAAGATGTCTGAAACGACTTTATAACAAAGATGTTAGGAAGACTGGGCATCAGACAATAACATTTTTATATATTACAATTTATTCTTGAATAATCACTCAACCTCCCATATGGAAAAAAGGGCTTTCCTAAGTAGCTCTCTGCACCTGCCTATTAAATTCATTAAATTCTACAGTACGTGGTGCATGTTTGCTCCCTCTGAAATGCAGCAGAACAGTATGCATATTTGTGGCAGACCAGTATATGCTATTTTATGCTGATCTCTATGATTTTCAAAGGACCTTGAAGATTACTGTGTGATTTGTACAGCCCCAGCACCGAATATTATCTTCTAGCTCATTTTACTTACCAGATTCCCTGTAAAGATGTACTGGGTGGTTGAATTTGGCAGAGCAGCAAACACTTCTACAGAACCAGTGATCTGTAGGACACATCTGTCTGCATTTAAACTGACTGCAGGAGGTAAAGTGGCCATCAGATTCAGCAGCACTGGGCACGCTGCTGCCTGACTCAGAGACGTCTGTGCAGGTTCAAGGAGGAAAAAAACTTAGAGTGCAGAGTTAAGCTTTTCTTAAGCTACAGTTTCTGTAGCTGCATCATAATCAGGTGTTGTATACCAATTCCCTTGTAATTAATCAATATTAAATATACTTCATTTTAATTACACCAACTGAAATGACAAATTTTGCATTGCATACACTTTGAGTTTCAGAAATGATAAAATGAATGGTGAAGTTTTAAACCCACTGATATTAAACATCTATAATGAAGCAATTTAGAGGTTGTTCCTGAAAAATGTATTTCAAGAGGAGGAGATTAGCATGTTAAAGAAATTAGGGAAATGAGTGATTCCAGTAAAAAAAAAAAATCACTTTGTCAATATAAAGTATTTGGAAAAGTGACAGCCTGCAAAAGAGCCAATCTTTTGAAAAGTAGACAAACTCCTAAAGGACAGAACTTCAGTTTGCAATTCCACAGATTCTGAATTTCATCATCTTATAGTAAGTGTTGCTATATTTTTACAGCAACTCACAGTATCTTAATTTCTTGCATCACATGTATAGACTCATGACTATTATTTCCCACTGTATATAAACTTCAGTAGTCAAAAATCAGGAATCTTTGCAAAGAGAAGTCAGGCTACCAATAGCAGAGATACCATTACCTTGAATAGGAATAAAAGGAGACTGATCTCACAGATGGCTACCACTTATTCTTTATAACTATTTCAAAGACTGAGAGCAAATCCAGAACTCAGAGGGGTAGAGAATAACTAAAGTGCAGTATGATATAGTTAGGAAGAATTATCATGGGGTAGATGTGTATGTTCGAATCATAAACCAGTTTCCTTGTCTCCTCCAAACTTTTTCAAACGAGAGCACACAGATAATATCCATAAAGAGCATTAGATACTGATTTTTCTTAAAAGATCTGTACAAGTAACAGTACTCACCTCAGAGACAAAATATTTCAGTAGGGAGGTATTTAAGCTAAAAGTAGTAGCAAGCTGTAAACAAATAAAATAAATTAGATCATCATTATACCAGCCTGAAAATTATGTTTTCCTTGGAAAAAAAATCCCCAACAATAGATCCTGTTTATTTTAGTTTTAGATAATCCATGTTTTGATTTAGTATTTCCTTGCCCGAGAGTGATTCCTAAGAAACCCTCGGTGCTCTGTGGGACAAAAGAGAGAGAGATTTCTCATGGACTTGATTCAGAAACACACACCAGTGAATGAACAAACCAGTGAACAAGCATTATTCTTTGAAAGAACAGACATGACATCCTGCCTTTGAAACTTTCTCAGATGAAATATACTGAGTATGTCAGAGGCAAGGACTCAAAAATCTCATCTGCTCTTTTGCTGCTAGCCACTGTGATGATGTTTGTTTGTGCCATTCATGTCACCAGCATCCATAAAGACCCTCTTAGCATTGTTTCAGTTAGCAAAACTTATTGGAAACTCTGACTACAAATGCCAGTGTGGAAACTAGCATTTCTGAGAGGTCCTGTATGTTCTTCAACCACAGCTGAAAGCTTAGTTTCCTTGTACGTTCTTGCCTCATCCTGCTGCTCCATTAAGTCTAAGGATTTATTCTAGCTCTCAACATAGCCAATATATCTGTTGTGGGCCTCTGTGCAGCAGACTGTGGCTTCAGTACACTTTTTCTTGTCTCGTCCTTTCCTATGTGCAGTCCATGCAGTGAAAAGCTTTTTTTTTGGTTCTTTCTGCCGCTCCTGGCACACCAACTCTGTGACGTTCAAATCTGTCATTCCATGCCTAGAGCTGCCAAGTTCAGACTTAGGTCTGAGGGGGCTTGAACTATTTTAAATTATGACATACAGAATGATTGTCATGAATCCTTCCTACAAGTGGTAGAAGTGTGACCTGAATCTGTGTGAAATGGCAAAGATAATGTGTTAGTCTCCTTTGCTGACCTGACTATCCATACTGCTGATATCTGTGATTCCATTACATGCAAATTATACTCACCTCTTCGGAGATGGTGATGTTAAAGGCCCCTGCTCTGTAGTAAGCCAGTGAAGCAGACTTTAGAAAATAATTGGAGACTCCCAGGTATATCATGGAATCACCCTGGTTTGGGAGAGCAAATGGAGCTGGCATAAAGGGAGGGTCTGTGTGATTACCTACTGGATAGACTGTGCCCTGCAAAAAAATCATTATCAAATATTTTTAGTTGAAACATTTGTATCTGCAAGAATGCGTTAGCAGTGGTTGAACAGGAAGAATTCTTCCTAATCTGAAGAAAAGCTGGACATTAAAGAAACCATGAAATGAGCAAATAAGTTTGTGTTATGCCCTGAAAATAAGCAAATTCAGGCTCTTCTAAACAATTACAGGAATCAAAGAAAATCTGGGTGCTGTACTTTCAAAGTTTGAATTTGAGCATTCAAGTGAGTATTCTGAACAGCAGTTACAAGACACACATGCAAAAAATAATTCTCTAGACCACAATTTTCTTTCTCTTGTAGCAAAGACACATTTGTTAATTTAATCTTAAGGGTGACATTTCAAGAAAATCTTCAGGCACACCCAAAAAGCACTGGAAGTTGCTTAGGACAGGGACACACAAAGGAGCCTTTTATATCACCTAACTCTTAGCCCTGGCCCAGCTGCTAGTCTTCTAAGACCTAATTTTGGTGCTGCACAGGTAGGGGACCTTGATTCAGGTATGCTAAGAAAATAACTATTAAAATTGAGAGGTAGGTGAGTTCAGGCCATGTAAGGAAAGTAATACAGATAGCAAGTCATGTAATTACTGAAACTGTGAAGGTTAGTAGCTGGAAGATTCAACAGAAAAAACAAGGGAAGGTATAAAACCCTAAGAAAAAAAGCTGAAAGTTAGAAGACGACAATCAGCCTGTTCCAAGGAGCACCAAGACCAATAACTTCCTTGACTGACAAAATGAGTCATCAGGTGTCCCAGTGGGATGTCCACATGTTAAAGCTTAGCCTGTAAATTCTAGATAGCTACAGGAGCTGATAACTAATTGCTTAGTTCTTTTAAGCTATGTATATCCTGCTTGCAAAGAGTTTTTTGTGGGTGGTGAAAGTTGCTTGAACAAAATAACCAAGAGGGAGTTTCAACCACATCTCTGGCAAATCTTTCTTAACTGAAGTCAGTTCTGAGAGTGATTGGGATGCTCTGAATGACAAGGGCTGTTGAAACTTCTGGAAAAGCTGGATCTTGCTGAGATATCTCTTGCCAACAAAGGTGAAAACTAGATAAGACAGGAACTGCTATGTGCTGCTCAAGGACTGTCTGTGAGGAGTCTTCTTTTTGGGTGTGACCTGTATTTATACAAGATGCTGAGTCATCTCAAAACAAATGCTTTGGACTGCAATCACACTGGTAGCCATCACAGATCATGTATCACTGCTAACAGGCAGAAGACCAAGCAGCAGTGCAAGAGCTGTATATCTAAAGAACACTTTTATGCTGTTTGTAAAGCCTCTCTGAAGGGTTTCAACTCTGAATTAATTTAATTCTAAATAATAGCTTTGGTTAATTACACAAATGAATTTAATTTATTAAATAAACAATTGCATTCGGTTTCCAAAATAACTCTTGACCAAAATTCCCAAATGTCTTATTGCTTTTCTAAGTAAACACTGGAGAGGTTCAGTAAGACTAGAGTGAAATAAAATGAATCAACTCAAAAGAGAATCAGAAAAGTGTTAGAAAGCACACTGATATTAAAGACAAATTACCTTCAAATCCAAGTTAATGTGTGATTTGAAGACTGCTGGAGAACTAAGTAGGGAATAGTCTACTTGTGCAAAGGTGTCAATCTGGCTTAAGACTAGAAGAATGATGGACAAAACCAAAACAGACATTATTAGAAAAACACATCACAAACAGTTACTGCTTAGTTAAAGACAAAGACTTTATAGAAATGATGAATCTGAAGAAGAATAATGGTGGAAGAAGGAAGAAGACAATTAAAAAAGAAATTGTTATTTGGGAATTAGTAAGACTATTCCCTTTGGAAAAGTCACTGATATCTCCTGATTTAGGCCTGTTCCCCTGCTGTTCACAACTGAATACACTTGCAGAAGTCTCTCCTGTGCAGTGAAAAATCTAGGGCAGAGTCTCCTTTTTTGTTACGTATTTGCACAAGAAAACTAAACTCTCCTTTATGATAAGTGAAGTACTTACTGGTAAATACTACTAAATACTTTGGAAGATGACATTAGCACATTTTTCTGCCAATCAGAGTTGAAGAAACTGTATGTTTTTTCACAGCAATAGAGGGCACTTTATTGTCAATATGATTGGAGAATTTTTCTGAAAGGCGCTCAGATGCAGCTTCAGTCCGATTGTTATTTTTGATCGGGCTGTAAGGTCTGTTCATACTGCATAAAAATGAGATGGGTTTAAAGAATGGTGAATTCACACTGAGATTATGAACTCCTCAATATGACAGCACGGCTTGGAGTGCCCTTGAACCTGAAGTATTTAATTATGTGCTGCATAAGAAAATGTTCTTGATGACTAAGATTTTCAGTAATACTTGGCACTGCTTGGCACATGGCAGTTATAGGTCATTTTAGGAAAAATAAATGTCTACTTACTCTGCTTCTGAATAGCAGAGCAGATAATAGAAATATCCACAATGAAAAGTAAAGTGTGTTTGTTTGGGAACAAACTCTATGACCTGAGTTATATTAGTTACAGGAATCAAATTAATTTGAATTGAGAAAAACAACAAATATTCTTAATCTTAGGGTAAAAAAACTAACAGCAACAACAAAAGAAAACCTGTGGCATTGATTATAGTAGTGAAAATCTTATATTTATATGCTTTTTGAACACAGATTGTATTCATGTCTCTGCAAGAGTGACACAGGAATTGTTACTGATGGGAAAAGAAACATGCTCAGTGTGACAGTGTCTTCCTACAGCATCTCGTTACCTCACTGAATAGGAGTCTTATGTTCACAGTACCAAGAGCACAAAGGGTCAACATGAAAATGCTCATCTTGGGAATCTAAGGAAATAACACAGGTCAGCTACAACAGATTGAAAGATTACAGGTGACTTGCTATGGGGACAGAAGAAATCTGAATATTTTATATAAAGTGCATGCGAGAGATTTCTATGGTGGAACATGGAATAGGTTAAGGTACAGAACAATGGCTGTATTTTTCTTCCTTCACTTTTTGGTACCACGAACACAGACACAGTTTGTATTCTAATAAAAAAGGATACAATTTGAGCACTATGAAAATTACTTAACAAAAGGCTGTTATCAACAACTCACCCTTATGCTTTTTAAGCTGTGCATCCATCATTTGGATTTTGTATTTGATATTTAGGCATAGCTATATGAAGAGAGAGACAAGTCAGTAATGTTAGGCGTGTGTTTTAACTCCTCCCTTCACTATCTGAAGCCATCTTTGCAAACTTACATTTTTATCCAATTTGGTGTGAATGGGCTTCTCAAGATAACCAGACAGAAAGCTGTAGATCCAGCTGGAGGAAAGTAAATGAACATAGTGGCTTTTTTACCATGGGTTGAAAACTTTCAAAAAATAAAATCTGGCAGATGGGGATATCAATGTCATTTATATTAACAAGAAGCAATTACAGCAATATGGCAGACTGAAAAGTTGACTCTGTTTACTAATTTGAGTCTCAGACAAATGTTAGGTGGTCTCAGTCTCAGAAGAGCTATATAGAAGGCAATCTGCATAGCTGTGGATGTTCATGTTAACGTGTTGATAAATGATGCTCAATTAGCCACATTTTTGTCTATGAGTAAGAAAAAAAATTCTAGAAAATCAAAATAAGAACTATAAGCACTGTTTCATAGTCTCTTTTGAAAGCTTTATTCTCAAATTGTAGGTCAGCTTGTCAAAAGGCTTAATTGGTCTACATCACTTTTACACCTATGAACCACCATTTGCAATCTTGTACTCTTTAATATGGTCAAATGTCAGTGCTTTCATATGCAGTATGTCCAGTCGGCTCAATTGCTGGCACATGCAGAAAGAAATGTAGATTAACCACACTTCACACACTCAGCAAAAGAGTCTGTTTTGGAAAACAGAACATTAAAAATCCACTTTCAGAGCCTTCAATAGTTAATCACATTTTGTAACTGGATCCCTAGAAACCAAAATTTGAAAAGTGTCCCTTATGCTACAAACCCTGCCACTTCCCAGAGGGTAATTAGAAAAATGGCTGTACGTACCTAGATCTTCCACTTAACTTGACTTTTACACTGCCAATGCTCAGCTGGCAATTGTGTAGCAACGTAGACAAGTGGCCTGTGCTATCCCGTGACACATTGAAGATAATGGAAATAAACAGTCCTGAGATGGACACAGTAATTTCTCCTTTGCCTTTGCTGCTTGGACAAAAAAAGTCAAACTCAGTCAATAAAACATCTGCTGTAAGGAAACAATTTAAGAAACTGCCTGTAAATCAAGTTTGAAAGGACTTCTTGCTTCTATTATCTAGAATGAAGAATGGGCTTTCTAGGGATTAAAGTAGATTAGGGACATGCCTGGTATTCAAAAACAGATTATATGCATGTGTTTCCAGGACATGAATTTTCCAGTGTTGTTCAGGATTTGACAAGTTTACAAAAATGTCACAATTTCACAGCAGCACAAGACATTCCAGTCCTTCATGATAGATTACCCTAAAGGTCTCTGGGACTGCAACAGCAGAAGCCAGTTAGCTAATAAATATATAACCCAAGTGTTATCAACTTTGTAATTGTTCCACTTTCCTCTTTCCTGTTTCAGTAACTCTTTTAAATGTATACATTTTTTTTGTTCTGCCCCAAAACCATTCATTCTCCTTTCTGTAAAAATCCCTACTAAGACCCCCAACAAAAATATCTTTATACCTAAATTCCAAAAAATTTAGGTATTCTAAATTAGGCTTCTGGTTCAGAGTTGTAGAAGCTGAAGACCAGCCAAGCAGGATTAAAAGTTGAATGAATGTTAGAACAGCCTTATAAAAACCACATTTACTGTAACAGAACTGACACTAAACACATCACTTTTAACTCTTTCATCTTAATTACTTGAGTTTTCTTTTCCCAGGCATTAATTTCTACAGTGATGGCACCATACTACAGAGAAAGAGCCGTGTCCAATATGAAGCTCGAACCATGAATCTCTCCTCCTTCCTCTTAATTTTTTTAGTCAAAGCAAAATATCTCTGGAAAAAGCTGTAATCCCAAAAGATAAATTTTTACCCTAACCATAGACTGCCCTGGCCCAAACTAATGTCTAGTATTGCCAGTCACAAAGTTCATCCTACCACCATTACCTTTTTAAACCTCCTGTTTCAGTTCATATATGTTCATTAAGTGGCTATGTAGAGGAAGCACCACTCTTCAGATCCTCATTTTCCAGTCCCTAACCAAGCTACCATCCCAGAAGCCATTAGGAAAAACATTTTCCCAAGGAGAGTTGTGAGTACTGGGACAAGTTACTTGGAAAGATTGTTGCGTCATCATCCTTGGCTAAAAAACATCACTAGTGAGTTGATCTGATCTAGTCTGGTGACTCCTGTTTTGAGCAGGAGGCTGGGCAAAACTACTTCCAGAGATCCTTCCAGCCTAGATTTACTCATCCTTCAGTGACAGGGACCATTGGAAAAGGATCTCAGCTGTCCTCCCCTTTTGGGCTACATGGGAGGTAGGGAGCAACCCAGCTACGTAGGTCTTTTGTTCCTGCATCCTTGTATGTACTCTTCTTCAGAAGGAATCCTGATTTCCTGAGGCAGGGTCACAGCTCTAGGCCTTCAGGAGCAATGGGCCTGCCAGGAGGTTTTATGACTGGCAGATTGCTCTGGGACGTAGTGGAGAGAAGGACTACAGTGAGAGCTGGAAATGCACCAGAGCTGAAATGAATAACACTATTGCAATTAAAAAGCTGTGATAAGACCCATCTTCCTGATCCTGGAAGCAGCCCAGGAATGGTGGTTTGTCAATGGTCTCACTTGGAAAGCTCATTTTCAGCTGGCCCCTCTTAATTTGCTATTCTGAAAGCAACATGTAGGACTAGAAGATAGAGGAGATGAAGAGTAGGGCATATTCTAGATCTGTCTAAACTCACAGTCATTCACAAAACATCGCTTAGGACAAAGCAGCACAGATTAGTCCTTCAAAAAGGCAGGAAAACCCCTTCGCCCCCTAAATTCCACCAAAGCCAGCTTTGACCACCTCCACCACAATCTGCTCTGCCAAAATCACGCATGACAGCTCCCTGACTCCCTTCCTGTCTGTGAAGTCTTTGGTGTTTTATATGCCTGGAGTCTCTCCAGATTATGCCCAGGTCCTTATCCTTCAGCAAGAGCGAGAGGTGACTTCAGTGTTTAGGAACGGCTGATCTGCCCTGCTGAACACAGTCTCCTTTTCCTCAAAACACTCGTATGACAGAAGAAAGAAGAGAGAGGTTGGGGGCACAGTGACAGCAGTTTACAGCCACCAGTCTCACTGAGACTGAATGCAGAACTGCATGTCCATGCTCCTCTGAAATCAGGACGTGCTGTGAAACTTTGCAGCCTGGTGATCCATCTTGCTGTGCTATCTGGCTCACAATAGAGCAACACCTACTGCTGTTACCAGTTGCTCTATTAACCCAAATTGTAGAGTTTAGCACCTTGCAAACTTTCTGATATCCCAGAAGTTTTAGCCCTCCCACACTCCCAAGAAAAGCTAGACTATTGTATTAAAATTCCATGGCAAAAATGCTGAGATAAGAAAAAGGTGGAAAAACCAGTATGCAATCATGTCATTAAAAACAATCTCATACTACACAGGCTTATGAAGATGTCAGTTTTCCATAGCGACCTAAATTTTGGACTTTCTGAAATTCTGAATGCTTGGCATTGTGACAGTCCTCTTCCTTTAACAGGAGCTCTTTGGAAGGCAATATACACTGTACCAGCACATGGATAATCAGCTACAGAGTCAACCTTCCAGCTATACTGTACAAAGAAAGTAACACATGTTGGCTATTACAAACTCTGTGGTCCTGAGTATTCATGTAATATCATGTCTGGACAAACTGAGCATGCTAACAGATGTCTGACCTGATACTTTTCACAGAGACAACCTGTGGGGCTGAATAATTTAAAAAAAGAAAAAGCATTAGTTGTCAGGGGACGTTTCCTTCTTAATAAGTTTATTCGAATAGATTGTTCTTAGACTGCTGTTAAGTGATACAGCATATCTGACCTGAAAAATAATACCCAGTATATGTCCCAGAACCACCCCCTCCCACGTGCATCTCTCTGTCCAGTACTTACAGCAGCCATGCGTTCATTCTCCAGTCTGCACTGATTGTAGCAGAAGCCCGTGCCACTGACAGACAAATGCCAGTGCCAGGAATAAAAGAAGCAGAAGTTTCTGGGAAATCTACAGCATTAATTCTAAGCCTACAGAATACAGAAAGGGGGATTATTAGAGTGCATGCCAAAAGAGTAAGAAGGACTCCTGATCACTGAAAACCCTTCTGCTATAAAAGGCAAAGTCTATGCTTCAGTAAAAGAATTTCTCAAAAATGACTGACTCTTGTATATTTTAGGAAAGAAAGACCTTACACCTCACCTCACAGCATCCTTGGAAAAAGAATCCTTGATATCAGGCATGCTGTTGTGGTTTTTTTGGTTTTTTTTTTCCCCCAAAACCTCCCCTTGGGAAAAAACCCCTTAAAGTAAAATCTCCTTGCTGGGGAAAAAATAAATCTATGTTTAATCTCAGATGTCACATCTATAAATAAATCCAGGTTGCCTGAAAGCTGCATTTGTTGAAGAGCATCAAAGTTTTTGTTTTCACATTCTGCTTCCTTGAGGGCTCTGGAGAGCATTCATTTTTCTAAACAAAATCTTACTTGAATATTTCCCTTCCAAAACAAATGTTTCTGATAATCAAGGATATTGTCTTTCAAATGGGTGTGTTGAATTGAGTTGAACATTGTAAAGATATCAGCTGCAATCTTATCATGTATTATACATTCCTCATTGTTTCTTGATATCTGGCAGAGATCTCTGAAACAATTGTCTTTAATCTGCTTTCCCTGGGGCAGCAGGCACCAACTATCCTTAGTTAAAATGACCACAGTTTTCCAATAACATCTTGAGCAGTAACTCTGCCTTTAGTTGTCTTGTTTGCAGTGAGCTAAAATCAGATTATCCACTGGGATGGTGGCCAATTTCAAGAACTATGGTTGGGGGAATGAACTGAGGTTTTGAAGATCATACAATAATTTAGGTTGGAATGGGACCTCAGGAGATTTTTCTGGTTCAACCTCATACTCAAAGCTGGGAGAATTCAGGGCTCTGGCCCACCGGAGTCTTGAACAAGTCCAAGGATCCAGATTCCCCAGCCTTTTCAGCCCTTGTTCTGGCGCTCTAGCAATTTTCCTAGCTTCTCTATTTTTCTTGATGTAGTATGTCTTTTTGCCCATCACCTTTTCACTGTGTGCCCCTGGGAGAATCTGGCTCCATATTCTCTATAATCAACACCCAGCAGACAGTGGAAGACATGCAGTAAGACACATGCACCTCCACCCACACAGTCTCTCCTTCTCCAGCCTTTCTGAACACAACTCTCTCAGCCGTACAGGGATTAAGGCACAAGGACAGCATAGCAAAAATGGTATAACAATTGCCAGAAAGCAGGATGTTAGGAAAGGGATGCAGGCCCTATCCAGCAGAAAGTACATGAAGTCTCTCAGAGTGGTATTCTCCCTCTGGGTAACCTGCAAAGAAGTAAAATGCTACTGAGCAGCATATTGGAAGGTGGGATTGAAGACTGTAGAAAAACCTGGTTTCATACTAGTCTCCATATTTGGAGAACTTGTAGGAAACTCTATAAAACTGTGTCTCTACTGGCTGCTCCTGGTACAAAGATTTTCCTTTGCAGTTAGTAGGTGTCGAGCACTATCCAGTCAAAATGGTGATTTACCATTGTAAATTCATCCAAAAAGATTCAGCAGAAGTCATCTTCCTGCCACATCAGCCCACATACACCACGCCCTGCATATATCTTATCCCTTTGCTGGCTTTTTCTCATCAAACACAAACAAATTATTTTCACCGCTACAAGTCGTTTATAATAGCAGAGTGTTAAAAAAACCAATTCTGCTCTCCTTCCCACCTATTTCCCCTGCTGTATCACAACCATGCTTACACCTGTCTTGCCCCAAACTCTGATACAAATCAACTGAAAAAAAACCAGCCAGGGTTCTCCTTTGGAAGCTTTATAAAGCTCATCTCTGAGTGTAGTAGAACAAGTACTTTTAAAACAAGTCAGTGTTTGGGCAGTGGAAGCAGAGTTAGACAAACCATTAAAATTTTATGCTGAACAAAACAGTGGCTACATAATTATTACTATGTGGTAACAATAAGCTGCTTCATCCTAAAACTTTGACATTTATTTCCTTTACTTACCTAGAAATTACATAGTTGACCTTAACAACTGACAAACTTTCCTGCCCGCTCCAGCTTGGGAAGGTCTCTTTCAATACTGCTTGCTTCACGAGCTCCATCCCAATCCTCCTGCCTACAAGGGGACATAGGAAAGCACGTGCCTTGCTGATTGGATTCTGGCACCCAAAGGTCCATATATACTGCCAAATAATTTAATCATCACTTTTAACACAGTTCTTGAAACACTTTGATTCTATGATCCTTACCTAGATCTCCTTCCAACTACGTACATACGCATTTATAACTTCTCTTAGCCTCACATACAAACCATTTAACCCAAGATCAAAAATATCTGTTAGGATCATCTTGTCCCTGAGTTGTATTTCATCTTCTAGAACTCCTGTCAGATTATTGAAACTGTTATACTTCCTTCACTCACAATGTGGATAGCTTGGAAAATTCTTGGTCATTAGCTTTACCTCAGATTGTCTCATACCTGTTGGATGAAAAAGCCAGTTATAAAGTAGAAAGGTGACTTCTATATGTAGTGTTTAGTTATGGAAAAAGTGTGATATATGTAGTGTTTAGTTATGGAAAAAGTGTGATATATGCATCTGAAGTGCTGGTATGTCAAATGCAGAACTATCTGGATTGTTGCTTGTGTACAGGAAGTTGTTTGAGGCTGAAAGACAATCCTTTTAAATGTTTTCTTCCCATTTATTTCACAGTATATATATTTTGCCACTGCACCTGAACCATTAAAGCCTGCAACAGATCTCTGACTTATTTTCTTACCCGCTTCCCTTGCTCTAAGGCATCCATATTTTCTTGAATGTTTTGATGCTACTTGTGCAATGATAATACACACAGACCCTGTTATGACCAAAAAGAGCATCTTTAAATTCCAGATTCCTTGTATCTTCCTTTTTTTCACTTATCTTGGATTAAGACAAAACTGAAATTTTAATACTGAATGATATCCTGCTTTCAGAGGTTTTTACCATGAATTTCTTTAGCTTTTGGCCTCACAATTGCTGACTAGAAAATATCTGGATTTTTTTTTCCACTAGGCTCTATAGTATTAAAAAATCAAGGAACTGAAATTTGTGATAACTCAACACTGGAATACCTTTTCATAAAATGCATTTGTTATGAAGGAGAAGTAAGTTATGATTCCCTGGGAATTCCTGTCTCCAAAGCAAATTATGGGCTCTCACTGAAATAACTTAAAGCTCTCTTACAACTGTCACTGAAGTCAGCCAGTGATCCCAGGTGAAATTCCTCTCAAGGTTCTTGCAGCAGACAAGAAGCACGCAGGCAGATCTATTGCCTTAGCCTTCAAATCTCACATGAAGGGAGAGGATGTGTCAGGCACCAAGCTCTTCAAATATGAGAAATACCTTTGGGAGGAGCTCTGCTAATGTCTGTTCTTACTACTAATGCAGGGGTGTGCCAACTTAGTCTGTTCATTCGGTGCTCGGAAGACCATGCTAATCGTCACAAAGACTGCTGGGCTCATGCTGAGAAACACCAGGTTGAGTTCTCATTTCTAAAGGCATGAGAGATCCCTAGGAAGCAAGGGAGGTCAGTATTGGTTTGGGTGACTGATGTTTGCCCCGCACTTTTCAACTCCTCAAAAGCCTTTAAAACAATATTTATACAATAAAATAAGTGGACCTGATCCTCGCTTTCATCTCAAAGACATGAACCCCAAGCTTCTACTTTTCATCTCACAAGTCCATTGTTTACCTGTCAGCATGTTCAGTACATAAATGACGATTAATCCTTAGCATGACCCAGCCTTTGTTGAATTTGTGCCTTGTTAACCTTTATTATTAATATTAATTCTGTAAACAATTGAAATTGTACCACGTGCCCTCCACACCCATGGAGTAAGTCTTAGGTAGGAGACAGTGAAAGTTAGCATGAATAGAAAGAGAAAGGAAAATATATTGTGGAAATTGCCAATATTCTGTTTAAGGGGCAGAATTATGGCAGTCACTAGATTTTTTTTGAAGAATGGCACATGCAGGTGCTATGCCATGTTAAATGGAGGAATGAGACTAAAGGTGACTATGTGGCTGTTCCAAGATTGTAAGCTTTTTGTCCCAATTGTGTCTTACTATCTTCAATTAAATATTGCACTTTAAGTCAGGGGTTTGACACTTTTTAAAAAAAGAAGCAATTATATGAATTTCTAATTATGGTTCTTAAAAAGTATATCAATATGAAGGATGTAGCAGAAAGATGGTTGGACTGTAGGAGAATGCAGTCACCAATAAAAGATAAATTCACACTTGGGATACACAAAAAAAGAAGGAAATAAGTGAGAGAAGAGACAAAGGGTATTCCTTGTGTGAGGTGACAAAAGGAATTTACTCTACTTCAATATTTAAGGAGCTTGTTCCTTAAATAAAACTGAACCTTTATTAAGCAACTATATTCTGTACATAGAGCATTTGTGATAAATTAACTTCTGGCAATGTTAGACATACCATAGTCCAGCCCCTTCTGAGTAATCCTCACTTTAAGACCAGGATTAGCTTCAAGCTGCAAGGACAGCCAACAGAGCAGGACAAAATACCATGTCTTTAGCATCTTCTCACCTTTGTCACAGGGATCTGTTAACAACATTTATGATACAAACATTTTCATAAATGATGCATACCATGAATTGCAAAACATCTGTATCCATGACTTCCCTCAATGAAACTGGGACAAGGGTGGATAGGCAAGAGAGGTTTAGCCTATGATTTTATTGCATGGAGCAGTCAGTGTAGGAGCAAGCACATATTTCTGAGTCCTTGGATATCACTTGGGCAGGTATTAGCTATTGGTGAGACTGCTCCACTACTCTATCCTTTCCCCACATCCATGTCTTGGCTGTTTAATGTTACCATCTGTCCTTCCTCCTGCAGAATGAACATCACACAGGAGTAGAGAAAGGTGTCCTGTGGCAGTGCAAAGCAAGACTGTGAGCCACTGCATGGTGAGACATAACCACACAACACAGATTCACAAAAGCTGAGACAAATTGTATCTTTCTGTGACACATTCCAGTACAAAAGTAAGGCTTTGTTCAAACTTCTTGCATTCATCCCAACAGCCACTGCTCAATTTCCTGGAAATAACAATACTGTTTCTCAAGACAGCTTCAAGTCTTCTCAGTGCTGCATTACAAAACTCTTTATTAGTGACCTACAGGAACTCTACTCTGGCCTTACCACGGAGGGGAGTGACACATCCTTTTCTGGACGTGCACATCTGATTGGGATCATGGTACCTGCCTATGTACAAAACCATACTAATTCATAAGTAGCAAAAGGTCTTGATAGTTTTCCATAATCTGGCAGAACACATGTAAATGAAATAAAAACAAGAAAAAACCCTCCCCTTCACCAAAAAACCCCACACCCCACCACCCTTTGGTAGTCTTACCTCTACCTTCTTCTTCTACTTGAATCTTACTTCTTGGTGTTGTAATTAATATTATCAGGTCAGACTCTAAATGGTTGAAAATCTATGTTCTGCTCAGTAACTCATAAAAAACTGCCCTTTGGTGGTTTCTGCACTGTAAGGTTGACAAAACGTATTTTCAATATTGCCCTGATATCGGTTCTCTGAGGAATCCTTACAAAGTTGTCCCAAGATACCATGCAAGAAAAAGTGTTTTCAGGGAAACAACATTCTGAATACATAATCCACACTGGGACAAATTTTGAAAATGCCCCCTTTAATTGGTCACTCCATCTCTAGTTCTTATGCCTTTTTAGTTTTGTCTATTTTAAGCAACTCAAAATAAATACTTTAAGGTAGCAATGTAATACTACGCACAACAGCCTGCTGAAGTCACAAAACTTAAACTCTTTCCAAAAACTGTCCTAGCTTTTCCTGCAAACATGCCACCTTCAATCCTGATTAATAAGGATCAATTAAAAATCAACATAAAACCAGAAAGACAGATTTTTCTATCATTAAAGTACATAGATATTTCCTAGATATTTATCCAGCAGGATTGCTAGAAGCATTCATGCAGATGAGGTACCTCATTCCCATTGCATTTCATTCACATTGAGGAACAGAAAACAGCAATCTTGGTCACTACTATGCTTTGCACTTGTACTTTGATATGTTCTTGTTTGGATCTTAAATGGATGTTGAGTGAGAAGCCGAAAGAACAAATAACAGAACTGCCCTGGGAATAAAAGGCAGTATCATTTCATATCGCTTACTCACACCAACAAGCTTTATTTTTGCACTCCAAGGCCGATATTCTTGGCTTCATCCAAGCCCTGAGCCTCTCTCAGATGCCAGGATCGATTGTACAAGGTCAGTCAGATGACTGAGGCAGGCAGACCTGAGGAGAAGGAACTTGTCAGCTGCCTGATAGACTAAATGAGAGCTGCCAATTGCATTGCCAAGGACAATAGATGTCAGACAAATTGCCCTGATATTTATCTTCAGTAACTGAGCAGGCATAGACCAATTTCTGTATGTAAATAATTATCTTAATTCTTTTGTCTTCTCAGAGATAGTGTATTCAAGTACTTGAAGTAGAGAAAAAAGATGAAGTTCTTTGTTTCAGACTGTGTACCTGTCTCACCCTAATGAAGTACTCCGCCTACCAGTCTGTAGATACATCTGGTTTCTCCTTTGTGAACAATCTATAAAAACTTTAAATAAGACTTGCAATAAAGATTACAGCTGAAATCCACCTAGGAACTTAAGCAAGCTCCTGAAGTAAAAAAACAAAACGAAACAAAACAGAAAACCGAAACCCACACAAACAAAAAATCCCACTATAGTTGTCTTGTAGAGGTTTAACACAGCCATAAAAACACACTAGCTTAAACTGACCATCCTCTGAAATACAATAGAGTATATTTAAAAAAGAATTTTGTCCTTATCTTGCCTTGTTCCTGCACAAAACTCTCCAATGTGCAGCCCACAGAAGGATTTCTTTCCCTTTGAAAAATTTAGTTACCCCAGTAGTTAACAAACCCAAGACAAACAGTTCTCAAACACAATAGCAAATATAATGTCTACCCAACCTGAGGTCCAGAAAGAGCACTTTAGTTTCCAAAATATCTCTGCTGTTATCACAGAACTGGGACTGGATTTTTCAGTTTCTCCCTTGCTCCATTGTCTCTAGTTACTCTGCAGCATGTTCAAGAACAGGTAGGGTTTCTGCAGCTCACTCAACAATGTCAAAGCAAAAAAGGACTCACTAGCCTCAAGATTTTAACCCTTCCCACACACTGATATTCCATATGGAAAATCACCTCTTGAGGGAAAAGGAATACAAAGTTAATATGATTGATAGGAGAGACATATTGGAAGGAATGCTTAAAGAAAACAGCAATTGACACAGATAGGAGTTTGCTAAATGGTATAAAAGCAGATGATCTCTCTCCACAACTACTGGAAATACCCACTGAATGAGAAAAACTCCAGTAAGTTCCTGTTCGTGGTTTCCTCCACACAGTGTGGAAAGCAATGCTATCCACTTCCCAGCTCATGAGACAGCCCATGATGTAGCTCAATGAAATCTTCCAACAGAATCCACAGGAGGCAACAGCCACCCCTGCCCCCACAGGTTGTATCTGTGAGTATGTCTGGGGCACCCCCTGATTTTTCAGAGGCTTTGCAAAAGCTTTGTGTTACCACAGCTTTTCCTGAGCGTGGCTTGACTACTGATGCCCTTCATAAAGGCTTTCAAAACCTTGGAGCAGGATTGCCAGAGAACTATTAATCTGTGTCAGGCTGCAAAATAAATAGCATAGCTGCAATGCCTACACAGATTCCATTAACAATGGATAACAATGTTGGGAGGCAGTTGTCTGATGAGCTGATGGAAAAAACCATCGTCACTGTTTGGATCCATTGAGTTAATTTTGCTGACCTCTGTAACTGCCTTATCCTTGCACTTGAGCCTCCTAGGACCACAAGGTTCATTTTTACCAAAGACCATTTAGTGAAACAAAAATCAGTGTCCTTGTTCTAGAGCTGCCCTGCACGCTGCCCTCACAGCTAAGAACTGTAAGGGTGCACTTAAGCTGGTTCCCAAGAGACAGTAGAAGAGTAAGATATATTGAGACCTTGAGCAGAAATGCAGCAGGCCTTATTTGTCTGAAATCTGAATTGCCTAGATTCAGACCCGAGTCCATCATTTGCATAGTTCTGTTCTAAGCTTCCTTCTCTCCCAGTTGTTGGCTCACTCTCAGAGTCTTGTCCAACCATTCTGTTACTTTCATGGAGCTGACAGTAGCATGAGGAACTCTCTCACCCTCAGCAGCTACCACCCTGGTTTCACACAAATTGCAGTCCTGTAAGATTCCTAGAAGGTGGATGCAATAACCTCCCTAGGAAAAACCTGAGCCTCTTTTTACTACCCAGAGAAACATGATTTTCGTCTGCTAATGCAAAGATATCAAACTCTGATCTCGGAGTGCACACAGCTCCCAGCAATGTAATACTGTTTAAAAATACGTAAATCCAAGAAAATGTAGTTGTAGCTAAAAAGGTTTGAAGAAATCTGGCAAACTCCAGAAAACCCACTGAAAGGTCCTTTGCTCCCTGTGATCAAGATTTTAATCAGAAACAGTGCAGTTAAGAGCTACATGAGCAAACTCCAGACACTGCTTAAGAGTCATCTGTATTAGACTGGCCATTATTTATTCAACCAATCTGAGACAGTGTAAAGCAGAGCTCCACTAAATGTATTGGCTATAGAGCATCAGCACAACAGGCTTTAAAATACCTTCTAGGAGCAAAGCTGACCACTAGCAAACTGTAAGAAGTTAGGAGGTTCTCTCCACTAGCTTTGATTTGAACCTCCTCCTCCATTGGCACACTTAAAACGCCACTTCAGACTTTCACAGATCTCCTGATGTTACTATAGCCTTCATACCCTTCTTCTCATTCCACCCTCTTTCACAGGTTTCAGTGTGACCCTTGTCATTCAAAATATGTGTATCATAAGGTTTAACATATACACACATACATATTTACTTATATGTATTATAAAATACATTCTTTGTAGTGGCAAATACATAAAGAAAAATAATGGAAAAGGTCCACTGTCTCACAGCTTTATTACCACACTCAACTTTCAGGAAGAAAAATATTTCCATGAGGTATGTAACTGAACCAAAGAGACCTTTACTCTTTATAGTTCTCCTCTGCCACAGGACTAGGTCAACAGTACTACAGCTTTAAGTTTCAAGTTTCTCAAGAGAACCCACTAGAACTATCAGTAGGATTTTACTGCTTTGGTAGAACAGGTTCTATTGCTTGTGTTTCACACTGATCATGTGGGGAAGAAAAATCCTCAATAAAATCCTTTGAGTTGAGAAACAATATTGTCTTTAACAACCATTCTAAACTACTGACAAGGAGCTTTCTTTTGTCACCATTCTGTGTATTATCTTAAGGAATTACTTAAAAATAATTCACAATTTCTGATAAGAGTGAACTATACTGAAAGTCAAAATTCTTCTCTACACAACCATTTTTTCAAGGTTTTAAGCACACAAGTTTCCTGTACTGTTTTGCATGTGCCCTTCCCAGCCTGAGGTCAATGTCATATGTGGCCATTGAAAGTCTTTTGTCTGCAGACTGAGATAAAATTAAAATGGTGGAGAAAAACTGTAACTCATAAAATAATAGCCCTTTCTTCTAGGATGATGTGTGAGGGAAAAAAAATAATGGTAGTGTTGAGTCATTTGAAATTTTCCAGACTTGAAAGCTGAGGAAAATGTTTTAGCCTTTCATCCTAATTGTCTCCTAGGTTTTCCTGTTTAATAGTGCTGTGTGGAAAACGTGTCTAAACCTTACATTATGGCATGACTCATAAAATTCAAAGGAAAAATTCACAGAATGGCAGCAGAAATGCTCACTTGTAACTCATGTAGCTGGTTACCTAACAGTGAGTATAGCCAGCCTCTGAGAAACAGAACCATTTTATGCCACACAATCACTTCAGCTTGTGCAAGTTACTGAAATGGTGGTTCTCCTGGCAGCACCACAACTGTAGCCAGGGACATTTCCCAAAGAAGGGAAGCCTCCTCCACCCTTTCAAAAGAGCATAGACTAAAATGCCCTGGAGCCAGTGGGATAACAGCATGTGGTTGGGACAGGGATAATTCTAAAGAATGAAATATAGCAGGACATTCATGGCCAATGGAAAATGGTTGAGGCAGCAGCATGACTCACTTTGGATTCAACCTTCTTCAGAGAGAGCAAAGCAGAGTTTCTAACAGGCACAGTCCTTTCTACCCTTCTTGCCAATTCCGTTCTCATCCCCCTCTGCTCCATCAACCCGCTCTTCTGGATTTAGCCAGGATGTGACCCCATTTGATGACAACAGCCTAAGAATTCCTCCAAAAAGGGGGGTGGCAAAGGCTGCAGGTTCTCAGGAAATCACTTGTTTTAATGTTTGTCATTGAGGGCCTGATAAGTTACACTGAGCTGATTGTAACGAGCATCAGCTCTTCCATTGCTCAATGAGTGGTGTTCCACCTCAGTAGACTCCTTGCCTTTCCTTTCATCACCTTTCCACCGAGGAATTTATTGACATATTGAAAAAAGATGATGGTTGCCCTTCAGTTTGAGACGTATCTGACGGTGAACTTTAAATGAAAATTTAGCAACCACATTTTCCTGGGTTGGATGACCATGTTCAGACGGCATAAAGGAAATTCCACATGTAGCCCAAAAGAGAATTTTTAAAGTTTCAGTGTCCTTTTTCTGACTGGCTCTCTAAGTGCTGAAAGGACACAAGTAGGGTTGTTTCTATAAGGTTAAGCAATGTGAATAAGGCCCTAATAAGCAGTTGTATTTTGTGATAGCTGTGTATTTAAGTATTATACTTCTAGAAAGTATACCAGTTTTCCTGCACCTCACATTTCTTGTATTATTCTTTGTATGGAGAAATGTAAGTAAATTTTATCATTAGAAAAAAACCCAAGATGATCTGAGAATATGCATTTTTCTAAGTTACCTCTGAATTCACTGCTTTTTGAATTCAGCATAATTCATTAAACAAAGTGAAAACTTAAATAAATTGTGCCTTTTACATTGTTCCCCAAATCGACATTATACTTAGTAGTACTAAGTACTAGCACTACTACTAGTACTCTTAGTAGTAGAGTGTTTATTTCCAGATAATCCTGAGAGTACTTTTTGTAGAGATCCAAGACGTAGGGAGGGGATTTTCTCCCATGTTTGACAGGTGACCTAGAGCCAGTAAACTTCAGTTTGTACCACTTAATACATCCGGTGAGGTTATTTGACCAAAGGTGTTGTAACACCACTTCTGAGATGACAACTCAGTAGTCTGGTCTAGAAAAGTCAGGTTCCTTTCTAAAACTAAACAGTCTCAAGGGCAGCAGCCTCCTTCAGCCCTTCCCCTTGTGCATTTCCATGAGCCTTGCCAATGGCTTGACATGCAGCCAGCACCAGGCTTTCGCTGGCATTTTTGGCTTCAGAACAATTTAGGAAGGATATTGAGGTGCTGGAGCATGTCCAAAGAAGGGCAACGAGGTTGGTGAAGGGACTGGATGACAAGTCCGATGAGGAGCAGCTGTGGGAGCTGGGGCTGTTTAGCCTGGAGAGAAGGCTCAGGGGACACCTCATCACTCTCTACAACTGAGGGGAGGTTGTTGCCAGGTGGGGGTCGGTCTCTTCTCCCAGGCAACCAGCAGTGGGACAAGAGGGCACAGTCTTAAGCTGTGCCAGGGGAGGTTTAGGTTGGACATTAGGAAGAAGTTCTACACAGAAAGAGTGACTGGACATTGGAATGGGTTGCCCAGGAAGGTGGTGGAGTCACTGTCCATGGAGGTGTCTAAGAAGAGACTGGACATGGCACTTAGTGCCATGGTCTGGTAGACAAGGTGGTGTTCGGTCACAGGTTGGACTCAACGATCTCAGAGGATTCCAACCTAGTTGATTCCGTGATTCTGACCCGGTGTTACACTGAGGAGGAGGAGGGCAGCCAGGGCGCAGGGATCACTCCCGTCGGTGGCAGGGTAGGGGCTGAGGCGGACGGAGCAGCGCCTACTGGCACAGCCGGGGTCGCACCCGCAAAATGGCAGCTCCGCCCACACCGCCTGAGGGGGCGCGCGCGCAGCCGAACGCCCAATCATCGATCGCGGTCGGGCGGGGCCGCCGCCGCCGCCGCGCAGGTCAGAGCGCGGCACGCCGAAGCAGCGATCGGGGGCGAGGCCGGGGCCGGGGCCGGGGCCGGGCTGAGGCGGTGCCGCGACAACCAAAACAACGGCGCGGCCCGGCCCGGCCCGGCAGCCCTTGCGCCGGCGCCTTGCCGCCACCTTCCCCACTGTCGCCGCCGCCGCCCGGCGGGGCCGCCGCCGCCGCGCAGGTCAGAGCGCGGCACGCCGAGGCAGCGATCGGGGGCGGGGCCGGGGCCGGGCTGAGGCGGTGCCGCGACAACCAAAACAACGGCGCGGCCCGGCCCGGCCCGGCAGCCCTTGCGCCCGCGCCTTGCCGCCACCTTCCCCACTGTCGCCGCAGCCGCCCGGCGGGGCCCGCTCGGGGCGCGAGGGGGGAGCGGAGACACTCCCCCCATACCCCGGTGGCGCCGCCGCCGCGATGAAGCTCCGCGTGCGGCTGCAGAAGCGAACGGCGGCCCTGGAGCTGCCGGGGGCGGAGCCAACGCTGGGGGAGCTGCGCGCGCAGCTGCGCGCGGCCCTGCTGCCCGCCTGGGGTTACAGGTACCGTGCGGACCAAACCATTGGGGGGCCCGAGGGGGGTGGCGGGGCCGTACCATGCGGGGGGGGGAAGAGGGGGAGTCTGCCCCCCGCGACCCCCCGGGTGCAGTGCTGCCCCCTGCCGGTCGGGCGCGGCTGTGCCAGGGAGCGCGTCCCGGGGGATTGAAGTCTTCCCGGTCTGAGGGCTTTTCCCCTCGCACGGGGGTGCCCCGGCTCCTGCAGCGCCCGGGACGCGTGCTGCTTCCCGACTGATCGCTGCGGAACAGGAGAGCAAAACTTCGGGCGTGCTCGGCTGCGAAATGCGAATCCGCAACTCAGTCAGAGCTGACTGGGGTTTGTGCGTGGCCCTTACGTTACACAGCGGGTGCAGGGTGTCAGTTTTACAGTTCCCTCAGGCTTCCTGGAGAGTCCCCCGGGTTTAAATTTCGTAAACGTTTTATCCGTGAAGAACTCACGGCATACTCTGTAGGGGAGTGAAGTCTGCAGAACCAATTTAAGAATCGCCTACAAAAGGGGATTTTTCTGGCGGGGGCTGAAGGGTTTGTACCGCGAACCTCTAATTAGGTCCGATGTACTGGTGTTTCACTGGTGATTCACGTGTGACGTGGGCAGGAGAAATCTGAAGTTGCTGCTTGTCTTGCTACAGTGGGTGTATTTTAGGGTAGCTGCTTCCCTGCTAACCAGTTTCATTTCTATTTATTTTTTCTTTTCATCTGTGCTTACCCTGAAGCATCTTATCTTATTAACCTCATTTGCGACTACCATCCTTTAGGACAGCTGCTGATCTTTGAAAGTAATGTTTTGGTTCATGAGAAAGCAAGATGGTTGAGTCTTCAGCAGTATTTGTTTTTAAATAATCTCAGCCACTAGTTTATTTAAAGCTTGTTTCCCTAGGTGTGATATCTTCGAATTTGAAGGGCATTTGTTTGCTTTTGCTTGTAACCTTTTTATGAGAAATTTTTGTAAATGAAGTTTTATCTACCAAGCAGCTACAGTTGCTTAAAATGTACCTAGAGAGAAACAAGGGGGGAAATAATTTCATGCATTTTTTTTGCCCTCACTCTTTCTCTAATATGTAGCTCATTATTAATGGATTAAACCCCATGGCATAGTACTATTGTAATACGGAGTATGCATTTCTAACTATAGAGTCATGGAATCATTAAGGTTGGAAAAGACCTCCAGGATCATCAAGTCCAGCCTTTGTCTGATCACCACCATGTCAGCTGAACCATAGCACTAAGTGCCATGTCCAGTCATATATACCTCTGTATGCAGTTACCCAGTTGCAGCCAACCATGTTTCCTTACTTTTTTTTTTTTTACTTCTATTTTTCAGTTCTGATACCAAGTTTTCAGTAACACTGAACAGAAAAGATGCTCTCACAGAGGATCAGAAGACCTTAGCTTCGTACGGGATTGTTTCTGGTGATTTGATATGCTTACTTCTAGAAGAAGCAGATGGGCAACCCAGCCTACCTCCTCCTCCTCCTTCTGCTCCTACTCCTCCTCCTCCCCCACTTCAGAATGGTCGTGAGCCGTCCACCTTGACCCCCAACAACAGCGAGGCAAACAGTCCAAAAGAAGAAGGGCAGAATGAACAATCTGACAACCAGAAAGCCCAGGGGGAAGTTCAAAAGAGTGATGAGAGGGTAAGTAGATGAGAATTGTCCTGTATAGCACAAGGCAAAAAAGAAGGTATGTTGTTGTGTCAATTGCTGTACTTTATAGGAGAGAGTCTCTTCAGAATATTTGGCTCCTAATACCTGTCCAGTGTTTATCCAGTTATTTGAATGGAAATTTGTCTCTCTGTATATTACCTGTGGCACAGAAGCTAATTCAGAGAGTCTAAAGTGGTTTAGATCTGACGTTTTTACAGGAGTGAATGTTTTTGTTGGAACATGCACTTTTCCTAAGGAAATTAGGATTATGTTTCTTACCTGCCTCAGTGCTGTCTTCTTGAGGAAACTGATTCTAGGTGCTGAGCAGTTGCAACAGGCACTGCCTGTTGGAATTGGGCTCTTATTTTTTTCCTTTCATGACCTTTCCCTTTCTACTTTTTTATTTTTGTAATGTGTCTGTAGTTTTGTCAGATAACTTAATAACATGGTATGATTTTTTTAGAAGAAAGGAAGTTACAATAAAGCCACAGTCCTCCTTAAGTGACAGCAGATGCACTCCATGGATTTTTTTTTCCCTGCTGTTTAGGCCTGTTGTGTTTGTTGGCAGTCCCAGTTACCATTTTGGTTACTTGCCATGCATGTTGGCTAAGTTCAAATTAATGGTGATACTACAGTGATTAAATTATTCCTGTGTATGTTGCAAAAATTCTAATTCTGAAGGTTTAATATAGTATTACCATGTTGTCTTCAATTTGTGTATGCAATAAAATGACAGATCCTTTAATGAAGCGCTTGTATTATAAAGATTAAAAGATACAGAGGCTATGTATATAATCCCAGTCTCCATCTGGAATGCTGGAAAATGGAGGTGTAATGAATCTTGTATGTACAACTTGTATGGGAAATCATGGGAAATGGAATAAGCAAAATATTGATGTAAAATATTGATGTATACAGAGGTGTAATTTTCTGAACAAAGTTATTTTTTGTTTTCTCCTGAAGGCAGGATCCAGCCTAGAATTTCCTTCTGGATTAGTCCCAGAAGATGTTGACCTGGAAGAAGGTACAGGCTCCTATCCCTCAGAACCTATGCTGTGCAGTGAAGCTGCTGATGGTGAAATACCCCATTCCTTGGAGATGCTCTACCTTTCTGCTGAGTGTACTAGTGCCACTGATGCCTTGATTGTTCTGGTTCATCTGCTCATGATGGAGACAGGCTATGTACCTCAGGTAGGTAGGTGCACAAGCAAATAGAAATTTCTTGGTCAGTGTGAGAAAGCTATGGAATATCATGGGAGTGTGTAATGCAAGATCCATCTGAGGATCTGCTTCTGCATTGTATATGTGAGTTGGCAGCAGGGGCTGCTGAAGTTCCAGCTTCTCTGATTTCCCTGACCAGTAATTCTTTGGGCTAAAGACTAGAACAGATTTTAGGTGCAAGTGAAAAGACCTGTCCCTGTGTTTCTTTTGGTCCTCAGCCTCCCTAGGACCCAGCTGATAACCTTCTGTTTCTGCTTTATGCTCTTGAGCATGTGTAGATGTGCTTAAATTGTAGCACTTCATCAAAGTACTGCCTTAAGTGTCAGTGTCATCTCAATGGTAGCCTGCTCAAGTGGTGCTTAGCAAGGCCTAGGTCTGCCAAAATATTGTCTCCAATTCAATATGAACTTCAGCTAAGTGTTGTTAGGCTTTGGTTCCACTAATCTGTAGAGGTATCGTACTTGAGCACCTATGGCAATACCTCTGTACAATGTGTGAATTCACTTTTTCCCTTCCATTTGCATTTAATATTTACTCATAAGTGGCTGAACATGCAGAAGAAGACTTGATGTGAGGAAAGGTGTTTAAATTCCCATATTTTTTTCTTGCAGTGAGGCTAACTAAGCACATGTGGGTGTCTGGTTGACCAATACCAATTTAATAAATCTAAGTTTATTACATCCCATAATTTGAAATACTACCTGAAGAATACATTTACCACTGGGAGGAAAGTTTGTTTATGTCAGTGAGCAGGCTTGGAAGTAGGGAAGATAATTGCTTTACAGATTTAGGAGGAAAGAATCTACTTATACTTGTGGTTATGTCATATCCACCCCCCGGGATTCCATCTGAACCTTTTCATACTGAAGCTGAAAGAAAAACTGTTAGTTGACTCAAATTTTCGAATTAACTTCAAACTATGATTCTTACAACCCTGTCAGATATTGTAAGTTCACAGAAAAGGTGCAACAACATGTTTT